GGGAGGCGCTGGGCCGGGCCGTGTCGGGCTGACCCGGCGGCCGCGGGTCGTCGGTCGCTCGCTCGCTCGCTCCCCAGCCAGCTGATGCCGGGTTTCTTTTCCTCGCAGCTTACTGGAGGTCTCCTTGCGCCCGGACCTGCACACGCTCAACCTGCACTGTAACCGCATTTCCAGGATCGAGGGGCTTGGTCGCCTCCGGAATTTGCAGCACTTGGATCTGTCGTCTAACCAAATCCGACTGATGGAAGGGCTAAGCTCCCTGGCTGATCTGCGCACGCTGAATTTGTCCTGTAACCTGATCACCAAAGTGGAGGGTTGGCAAATCTTTAGTTCTAGCCGTTTTACAAATTATTATGTTTTTCTAGGAATTGTGTTAAAAATTGCTTTTGGAAAGTATGCATATAATTAAGATTATACTAAGCTAATCTTAATTGCTAGCTGTATTATGTTCTAAGTTTTAAAGTAAGCATACAGTCTCTCTAAGTTCTATCATAGCAAGATTCCTTACCTGAGAAGGAAGAGCTATGATGTTCTCTGTATTATGGTTGTACTTTGTTGTTATTTGTTGTTATTTGTTGTTATTATTTTAAAAGCCTTACTTGTTTTGCAAGTTTGGCTTTGATGAAAACATTCTTCTGAAAAGAATCTTACTGTATTTCTTTTCCCTTTGCTTTGTTTAGGCCTGGAAAAACTCTTTAATTTAACTACACTGAATTTGTCATATAACCACATACATGATCTCTCTGGTAAGTAACTTTGACATGTTCTGTGCGATAAGAAAGGTCTACCACACTTTAATTTCAAAAAAAATTGGTAAAGCGTATTTTCAGAGGTTTCCAGAAGCTCACCTAATTAACTAAACAGTGCTGTTAAAAATGACAGCTGCTGTGACTCTCAAGTTTCTTCCAATGTGGGTTGCTCTGGACTAGAATTTATTCTTCTGTATTTGACCAGACTGAACTTCATCTCTGTAAACCTGGCCATGTACCTGCTAGTCTAGAGCTGCTCATATTTAGCTTTACAGCTAATAGGGGTGAAAAAAACTTAACATCATCACCAGATGTTGCATGCAGGATATGAGTTCAGGCAGCTGTAGCTGTCACAGCTTAGCCTGCCTTGGTAAGGCTCCCATTGAGAACCATGAAGTTCCCTTTTGTACAACACAGCAACAGTATTTTCTGTTCTCTGGTATCATTGCATAGCTTTTATATGAAGCAAAGCTAGGCTGTGTTCTATGACGTAGGCCAAAAAGAGCAAGTCCACGCATTTCTGCCGGAAACAGGTGTTTGTGGTCTTCACAGAGTTAAAAATCAAAACTGATCTTTAAGTGAAACCTTTTTCAGTTTTCTCATCACCTTCTCGCTGTATGCTAGGAACCACTGTGCATCTCAGGAGCCTTGATCGCATTCATTTTTATTCTAGGGAAGAAAAGACCAAGTCTTCAGTGCAGCATTTCATTCTCTAGAGACTTAACTGTTTAATTAGACTTTTAAAGTTTGCTTGTTACGTTTTTGGAGTTCTCTGTGATTATTCTCATTTTTGGCTGCTCTTTCAGGTTTGTAATCCTAAAACAAATAGTTGCACATGAATGTGTGCATAGGACATGGTTTTAAAAAAGTACTACGTTATGTTTTTCTCATAGGTACCTTAAAGGACTACATTATATTTTTCTCATATGTACATTCTATAATAATCTGACCTAAGTAAATCTGGAAGTTGAATAATTGTAACTACTAATTTGGTGAACAAATACGTTGTTTCAATTTCTTTGTGGTGTTCTTTGAATTATAATTAACTGTGAATAAAATGGATGCTGAAGGCAAAGCTTTTTATTTCCCTAACTAACTGAATTCTACTTTTTTGCTGTGCAGAAGAAATAAAATTTAAAGAGCTCTCATATCACTAGTTGTTATTAGTGCTATACTAGTACTGTGTGCACAAAATACTGGCACGTAGTAGTACTGTGGTTTCTGTAGTGAACTGCGTACTAGATTCACGCAGAAGTACAGTAAACATTTCATACTTCTCTGCAAAGTGAAAAATAAAATAATCTTACAAAATACTTCCAAAAGATTGATCTTTCCTTTATTTAGGACAAAAATTAAAACTTTAGTTACAATGTGATTGTTCTCTTCTAAACTATTTCTCTAAATGATAAACTGTTGTTTCTAATGAAGGTTTTAAGCTACAAAATCTGTTGATTGGCTTGGTAAAACAAAATTGAAAACAACGTTCGTAACATGTCTGTTAATGAGCTAAGTTACAACAACACAGTGACTTCAAGCAAAATATGTTCATTTTTATGAGCTTCTTAACAGTTAGAAACATACCTGTTTCTTTAAAGTTAACTCTCATGACTAGCTTGCATGTTTTAGTGTCCTGTAACTAGTTAATATACCTTGCCAGGAATGTACACCAACAGTTGTTACGTCATTTCCAGTTATGATGTATTGTTTACTATTTTTCAACAAGATGCTATTTGGTTCAAATCCCATGTTTCATAACAGAAATCATTGTTTTGTGTTTTCTTTTTTTTTTTAATCAAACTTTCAGGTTTCCAGTGCTTTCATGGAACCAGTAATAAGATTAGTCATATTGAACTTCACAGCAACTGCATAAACAATATTAATCATTTACTTCAGTGCACAAAGGGGCTGCGCTATTTGACCAATCTCACATTAGAAAAAAATGGAAAGACCAATCCAATTTGTCACATAGCAGGTATGGATCTCATTTTAGATGGTCACTTTATGCTGTGCAGGTCAGTGGTTTCCCTTAAGCTGTAAGCGAGGTTAATTTATAAATTGGCCAGCCTGCAGAAATCTAAATTCTGTCAAAGTGAATTTGTTCTACATAGACAAATTTCTTTTTTTTCCCCACCAAAATGTTTTCAAAATTGTAAATCTCGTTGTGTGCTTTGATTAGGTTCAACTTTTCATACATTATTTTAGGTTAAGGCAAGAGATGTAGACAGAACTATAGGAACAGAAAGCATTGCAGAAGCAGGAGGAAGGGAGTGTGAATGTTATAGAGTGGGAGAGTGGAAAATTTAAAGAAGTGTACAAATAGATACGACAGAGAAAGTGGGAAGACGTAGGAAGTAGGTGATCTGCTGTTGGAGACCTCACAAGACAGATCAGTAGTAAGCTCTGTTAGCCCTCCCTGCTTTTCCCGCAGCTTCAATAATCAGTGGTAGGCTGTAAGATGCTCCATTGTAGTTAGTGTTTTCATCGAAACAGCAGGCACGGATTTCACTAGGCAGCTTGGAGAGAAGTTCAAGGAATGCTTGTGATTACATCATTTAGTTTAGATTAGAGCTGTTGAGTTTTTTCGTTTTTTTGAGCCAAATAAATACTGCACCCTGAATTCAAACAAGCTACACTGCTGCATCCTTTCCCCTTGCTTCCTTGAGTTGAGGGCTTTGCTGTGAAGATTTTCAGTCTGACTAAAACTGTCTGCTCTCTCTTCACAAAGATCAAAATTTTTTTTTTTTTTACAAACTCTCAAATACTCAATAGCTTTTTTTTTCTTGCCTATGTAACTGCAGTGCGCTGATATCATAGCGGTAGGGAAATTCCAGTGTAGACCAGGAATATGGAGGTAGCTTCCCAGAACTTCTGTTTTGTGATGTTTCCTGTCAATGGGTTTTATGGGTGGGGAAACGGGAGCAACATCTAGATAACTCACTGCTCCTTTTCTTCTTACATTATGCATTGCATTTTTAATAGATGGTAGGGTGCCTAGAGTATACCAGGCATCTTTTTCAGCTACTCGTTTCAGTTTAAATGTGATCTTTTCCTCAAGGTTACAGAGAAATTGTTCTTCAGACTTTGCCCCAGCTAACAGTTCTAGATGGAAGAAATATTTGCGGTGAACCAGTAGACTTGGCAGAAGAAAACTTACAGTGTTTAGAAGATATTTTGGACTCTTTGGTTTCATCTGCGTCCCCCCTGTACAAAGATAAGGTGTTATAGTTTGTATGCGTTGATCTTAAAATGGATACACCAGTTTTTTATGTTGCACACAACTCATTGATGTTGCACGGGCTGTCTTTCATTTTAATAGAACTATGCTACATTGCCAGTGGTAACGCCTCACATTGACCAGGCGTTAGCTCATTTTCGTGAACGAACAAGAGTACCTGTACAAAGTGCTGTCAGCTCCTCTACAGAGGCCGTCTCATCTTCAGAACCAGAAAAGGCCAAACTGGATAGAATAGACAGTGAGATGAGGATTAAAAAAATAGAAGATCAGATTTCACAGATACTGCAAAAGGTGATTTTCCCCCCACCCCACCCTCCGTAATTGTACAGAAACTTTTTTTTGTGAAATGAGGTGTGTGTTTATGATAATGCAGAAGTTCACCATGACTGACTGGAATATTTATCCTGGTAGGAGTATTTATATTGCTAGGTATATGCTGACTTTGTGCTAATGTGTACTTGATGACTTTGAAAAATTGGAAGTAAGATAAAAGCAAGACTTTAAAACTGAAGATTGTACTTTGAATCATGAAAACTTCTGTACTGAATAAAAAAACATAGTATATGGGTCTAGAAAAACTATTGAATCATGTAATTATTGGGTAGAAAATTGTTTTCTAGGTTTGTTTACTCTGAAGCCATTAATATATGTAATTATAATCCGACCGTTTTACTGCATTTCATGTATCACATTTGTTTAAAGTTTGTGAAAACTAATTTTGCTAAATAATAGATGGAGCTGGTGTGATACACAGGAAAGCATGCCTAACAAATGTGTTTTCCTTAAGAGTTTACCTTGTGCCTAGCATATTTGCAAAGTTTTTTTTTTTATTTTTTTTTAAAGTGTTGTGTCTGCTTTATGTTTTACACCAAGCTTGGTAATGTACTTCTATGCCTGAGGATTTTAACAAACTGATATTTTAAAAAGAAACAACTACTTATTCTCAGGCATGCTATTCTGTTGGTCTTATGTTCTATTTAAAAATAATAAGTGTTTTAGTAAGGGAATGGGTAGTTTGAAAGCAATTATCTACTTCTCTATTGCAATTATGTTAAGTCTTTACTTTTCAAACATGACACCTCAATAAGTGTTAGAAATTAGTTAATTAGAAATTTTAAAATGTGTAGATAAAACTTAGATCTGTTGTTAGGTATCTGATGCCTCAAGAAAGGATGCTCCTGCAAATGTTCTCAAAGCTAAGAGAGACACAGATCCAACTTCAGAGAGTGAACATGAGAGTGAGAAGGAAAACAACGGAAAGGTGGTGAAAAGAAGCAAGATCCCTACTTACCGTAGAACTGCCTTATCTACGAGGTGTCATGCTAATCATCCTAAGAGTAAAATAACAGACAGGTATTTCCAGATTTGCCGTATAAATCCAAAATTAAGCTGAATGTTTTCATGGTAAATGTAATTTAACTTGAAACATTATACTGAAAGTGGTAGATTGGATTGATTCTCTTCTGTTAGTAATATTCCAAAAGTGTGGTTACTGAAGCTTCATAATAAATCTGTTGTTTAGGAAAACAATTGCATCAAACTCTTGAATGTTTCCTCCCCTCCCTTAAAAAAAAAAAAAATTAAATATTTATCATGTGGCACTGCTGATAAATATTTAATGTATGAACACTTTTTCTTAATCTGCCAGTCCATATAATCTCCTGTATCTCCTTGCTTCCCAAGTAGTTTTTCATGTCTCTTGTTTTGTAAAAAAAGAATATAACTCTGCTTTGTGATGAAACTGAGGATGCTATAATAATTTATGTTTGATTACATAGTAAATATCAGAAGTACGGAAAAGAAGATAATATACTTTGGGCTGTATTAGTTCAGTCAGCCATTGCAGCTCTGCAACTACTCTGCCTCAAATTGTTTCATAACTATCTGATCATAAGGTGTTTTTCAAATAGCATCTACTGGTATTGCATATTTTTATAGCTGAAGATTTGAGTTTAGTTGTTTGTTTCCTGACCAGCTTACACGTTATTCTGTGTGTGTATATAGTTCAGATTCTGTGTACAACTGTAAAAGTTCTGTACTGTAAAAGTATCTGAATCCCACGTACCTTTGATAACGTGTAAGAAGATGCTTAAACTCTGCGTATCCTTAAATATATCTTGATTTTCTGCTGTTACAGGGAAGAGAAGAGTTCTTTAGAGCGTCCGTGCTCCAGTCGGAGAGACCCTGATGTGAATTCTTCATCAGATGCTCCAGACTTAAAAGTAGTGGGAAGAAGAGCTGAATTATTAATAGGAAAGCAGAACCATATAGAAAAAGTAGAAGAAACTAATTCAAATGCCACAGAGGAATCCACATATCGAGTATGTTTTACATCATTTCAGGTTAAATAGGAGTATGTTTTCACCTGAAGCCAAGCATATGTCTCCTTGTGAAACTCTAAAATCAGAGGTGACAAAAGTAATTCCATGCAGATAGCATCAAAACATTTTGAAATTCTTGAATTCTCTTCCTGCTGATAGTATATTTTATTTAACTTTTAAGGAGAGGTTTTGCCTGTTCAGAGCCTTGCTTCTGTCTTCCATCTGTTCCAGAAAGACCAAGAAATCCTGTTCTACAATTGCGAATATTGTTTGTCAGTTTTGGCTACATTTGAATGTTTCCTAGTAAGCTGGTGTTTAATATATTCTTGCTTAGGCACTGATTCAAGAACTGGATCAGGAGAAAGAAAGGCGGTGGAAAGCAGAGCAAGCTGAGAAGAAGTTAATAGAGCATCTCAAAGAACTGCAGAAACATGCAAAAGAAGAAAAGAATATTCAGAGTATGGCTGTATACACTACAGATAGGTAGGGAAATGAAGTGCTGTAGTATAATTTTTTTTAACAAGTCACAGTGTTTATATCGCTCAAGAAGTGAACAACTTTAAAAATATACTTGGAAAATGATGCATCAAGAAGTATTGCTTCCAGTTCTCTCAGTGCTGCCTAATGAAATTGTTCCTGCTACTGTGCTGTAAACAAGTGCGGTGCAAAACCTGATGGGTTGTCACTATTTACTCAAAGACATGGGAAAACAAGAAATTCTGACAGTGCTTACTCCCTTATTCCTCCTCATGCCTCCAGCATCAGTACGCTGCTTACCTCTAACCCTAGCCCTCTACTTTCTAAGCAATCCTTACCATAATTGTACTTTGCCTTTCAGCACATGCCCTACCTACTGTACCTGGTCTTCAAGCAATTGAACTTCCACCTTTTAATTTCCAGGCTCCCATTTCATCTATACATATGGTTCTCTATCTTTCCTGTGCGGTACAGTTGAACAAAGACATTTCTGGCAGACCAGAGTCAGCCAACAGGGAATATGTTGTCCCAGTCTGATCTAGCATATTTTTGTATAGACTGTCATTGTAATCGTTATCAGTTCTGGCTAACGTTATCATCTTCTTCAAAAGTTCTCCTTTCCGATGAATGTTGTCAGTGATGTTTGGAGGTGGCTGTTCTGTTTGTCCTTTTTTTAGCTGCACTGTATGTATAGAAGGCACATTTTTATTCTTGTAAGAAACAAGCCAAATGTTTTCTGAGTTACCATCCGTGACTGACTGTGAAATACCTTTCCTTTTTTTTTTTTTTCTCCTTTTACCTTTCAGTTAATTTCTAGTGTTCATTCATTATTATCTTGCACAAGAGGCTTTATATTCCTTTTCTTTTCGGATTGAATATCCTTAAATATCCTAGTTATGTTTGATAAATGATCTAAATTTTCTGAAGTAAAACTATCAAAAATTACAAATTGATATTATTTGGTTCCTATATAAGGAAATAACCTTCCCAGTATGACTTTACCTAAAAGACATATCTCTCAGGTTGTTTCCAACTTAATTTCTTTTAAAGTTAAGCTCAGTATAGTCATTATACACATTTCAGTAATATTTTACATATTATTAGGCAGTTCTGCATTATGATCTTGCACTCAGCAAAGAAGAGCAAAGTGCAACACCTTAAATGTGTTTTTTTTCCAGTGGCATCAGACAAAATACTAACATAAATATTATGTTTATAACAACTTTATTGTCTTAATTTTCAGGTTAAAGGAATTGATATTGAAAGAGAGAGATGTTAAAACAAGATTGCAAGCAGATGTCCAGCAATTGAAAGGCGAAGCCGAAAGACTTACTAATGAGTTAAATCAGGCAAGAAATAAAGAAGCAGAATATCAGAAGGCCATGCAAGCTTTAGAAGAAACACTGTCCAAGACAGAGTCACAGAGGTTGCAGCAACGAACAGCAGAGGTAATATTTTTCATAAGTGAATAATATGGTGACAGGGGGGCTACTAAATCCCTAGATATAAACACTAGATGTCACAAGCCTTAAGCCTGAATTTTTCACTGTAAAAGCTGATTTTTTTTTATATAGTACTAATTAAAATAGGTGTTTGTTATTAACTATTGTCTTCTCTTTTAAAATTGGAAATACGTTTCACATGCCATGTTGTCTTTAAGACAAGAGATCAAGTCTGATGTGCTGAGAACTGATAGCTTCTAAAGGTATATAGTACTGAAAACAAGTTCCTTAATGTTGTGTAACTTGGTAAAGATCTTGTAACAGCACTAGTGAAATGGAAATCTGGCGGTTCTGTTTGTTTTACTGATGTAAAGAGTTAGATGTTTCTAACTGCATCAAGAACAAAACAGCAATTGCTGAGAACTTATTTTAAAGCTTCTGGGATTTACTCTTTGCTCGTTTTTTACAGCTGGAGAAGATAATGATGCTTTTTTTGCCAGAGGCACTTTATTCAGTACACAAACAGACAAAATCAAGATGCTAGACAAGATACAGCCATTATTTTTGACTGAAAACTCATTCCATAATTCTCAGTGACCAAAACCTGCACCCTCCAATATCTGACTTCCTATTGTTTAATTATCTTCCTGCATCAGGGTTCCTATGGATCTAGAAGTGACTTTCAGTTCAGAGCACATATCTACTCATCACTTGGAAAGAACTAAATTTAGTGATGATTTTCTGTAAAGAAGAGGAGATGGTTTTCTATTTCTTTTTCTTTGAGAAAAGAAATAACTTAGTACTATATGAGGCTTTTTTTTTTTTTTTTCTAAAGTTTGTGGAAATAATCTTTTTCTCAATAGTAGCGGCATTGTTTACGGTATCTGCAAAAGCTTTATTTTGGAAAGGTCTTTGCTCCCATCTTTAAGATCTTATAGAGAAGTATTCTTATTTATATTTCAAAGAATAGTCATGATCTAAAACTGCATTATCTCATTTTGAATGTTCAGATTTTCATATATTCATAGCTTATTTTAGCAACTTTAATAGTAATTAATTCTAGACTATTTTGTAGAGCAGTACACATGGAATGTTAGCTTGCTATTAAAGAGATGAATACTCTGCCTGAAACTTTAGTCATCAGTGGTGAAGGGTAGTTACTCTATGTAGTTGCTGTTTAAGTATTTAAGTCAACATGACCAGATTATTACTTCAAAGGATGCAAAACGTTTACATTAGTACCCTGTTTTCTGGTCGTCTTTAGATGCGCATGTGTTCTCACTTGATTTTTTTTGTTGTTGTTTTATCTTCAATTTAAGAGACAGTTGCTTCATTTCATCGCCAAAACATCAGGGATACACTGGGGTGTGTCTAAATGTTACTCAAAAAGAGACTTAACGTGTAGAATATGAGGACTTTGAAATAAACATGTACAAGCCTCCCTAGAAAGTTTATAAAACAGGGGTGGGGGGGGGAATAGTAATGTCATTCTGAAAGAAAATAGATTATGTTTTTGCTTTGTTTTTTCTTCCAAGAGTTCAAAAATAAACTAGGCTGTCTTTATTGCATTCTAGCTCTGCCCTTGGATAACTAACACTTAGAGTAGTCTTGAGTAGTTCATTAATCAGCAAATAGTTACAGCTTTGGTACCCTGGAAAGCGAAGAGATTGGAACGGTGTAAGTACAGAATGTGGAGGGAAAAATGTGCCAAATGTTATGCTTCGCTTAGGAGATCAGGTTGACAAGAAAATTAAGTGATTAGCACTCACTGCTTAAGCACACACAGAGGGAGATGGATTTTGCAAGTAAATGATTAGAAGGAGTAGGCGCACCTTTTATCACCTCTGTTGTTTCTGTCCCATGTTCTAACTTGCAGCCTTCTCAAATGTCTTGATTCTGAATCCTCAGTAAATAAAAATCGTCAGTATTCTGATTCTGAATCGTCAGTAAATTCTGATTCGTCAGTAAATAAAACCTTTTTTAATAACTTTTTCCGTATGATCTTTCTTTTCTACTTGTCAAGTCAAAAAGACACATCGTATTCATGCTGTGATTCTGTTTTTGTAAGATTGCTGGAAGGCAACGATGTTCAGTAATGTTAAAATGTAAAACTCAGTAAGAAGCAGACTTTAATAATAGTTGTTATAATTGGAGTGTATTAAAAAATGGTGATACGGAATACATCTAAAAATATTTTCCTTGAAACTAATACAAGAGTTGCAATACAAGAGTTTGTAATTTGAGGAAGTCATTCTGCTGATATACTTGTCCTGCTTCTAAGACCTTGTCCTGCTTCTAAGACAGTTCTTCAGATTAAGTAAACTTCCTTGGTTTTCCACAGAAATTTGTTTTTTGTTTTGTGGTAAATTAAGCTAGCATTTAACTGTAAACCTACGTAAATTTCTGCAGGTGCAACAAAACATATAACAGTACAAAATTAAAGCTTTGTTTGGGCTAGGTATTGCTATAAAATGCCATAAAATTTTTTGAAAATACTGACTGTTGTGGAGCATGCTATAAAGATAATAGCTCAGACAGATGTTTGTGTAAAGCCTTAATAAAGCACCTGTTCCTTTGTGTACTAGTACAAGACGTGAGGAATAGATGACAATTTTAAGAATCTTGTTCCTCTTATCCTTATGAATTCTACACAGATGAAACAGATTCAAGAAGCAGAACTTAAAGCATCAGCAAATGAAAGAGAAGTACAGTTGCTCCGGCTAGCTCTTCGACAACAGAAGGAGAAGGTAAAACAACTCCAAGAACTTCTCATATTAAGAGAGCAAGAACAGAGGTATGGAGTTTCTTATTTTGTTTGCACAACAAGCTAATGGAGATGTTAGTGTTGCAAACCTGTTTTGTTTGAATGTATTCTGCCAAATATTTTTTTTTAAGGCAGAGAGATGTTCTTGATTTAAAAAAAAAAAAAGTAGTAGATTGTCTTCCCATCCATATTATTCCTCAGTTAAGAATGTCTTCGGATCTTTTAGTCTTTTGACTTGGAAGACCACATAGGCAAATACGTTCTTTCAGTCTTTCTTTTGGTAGGATCTTGTATTATTAGATGGCTGAACTTATGTTATTTAAAATATTTGGTCTTTAATCCAGGAAAAAATCAGGTAAAAACGGAATTGCATTTGAACAACCATCTGAAGGTCTGCACGTACTATAATAACGCAAAATGTTCTCCCCGAGGTATCAACTTTTATAGCATCTTGCTTTAGTGCAGATGGATGGTTTTATTGGCTGTTTTACCATTTCCCTTCCGAATCTTCCTTTTTTTAGAGAACACTTGACCAGTTTTTTACTTTTTACGTCACGCAATCAAATATATGTAAGAAATAGAGGAGGCAGTGTATATTACACTAGTGCATGTGTTGGGGGGGCTATTAATAAAATAAGTTGTTAATAATTGCTGAAGTTTTCAAGGATAAATGTGTACAAATACCAAGGCAATTTCAGGTATGAATGGGGAGGATCTGATAAATGCATTTTGGGAACTTTCAATTATTTCCTTATAAATCTCGTAAAAGATTTAATATGAAGGACAGCAAATATGTTTTGTGTTGTGCTTTAAATGACGAATAGAAAAGACTTAAGCTACAGGCTGATTTTGCTTCAACATGCTCCTGTGGGGATGTCAGGAAGGAGACTGATATCCTGGAGCCCTTTTGATCCCTGTTGCTGGTACTCTTTGGGTTTTTGGGTTGAATAAGAAGCAAGGATTTTTGGTCAAGGGTGATTTCCCAAGTCCCTGTATGTCTTCCATATCTTTACGGTTCCTCGCTACATCACTGACAGCAAAAGAGCAATTGAATAATTTCTGCTAAAATTTGAATTAAAAAGCAAGGTTGTTCCATTCTGAGGATGTTTTAATAGTAGTCAACGTATATTTTCCCCATCCTGGGGCCATTGTCACGGAGGACTGAAATCTGTCAGTGGAACTAAGGGATGTATCTCTCTTGATTATGTAATTCATTGTTATCCTTTTAAAGAATATTAAGAAAGACAACGAAAATAGCGTTGTTGGATGCTGCAGCTTCTGTCTTATGTATATGTTTGGTAACTCCAGGAAAGAGCTTGAAACTCGAGTTGCTTTAAATGGGCCTGAATTCCAACATGTGTTGTCAAAAGAAGTGGCTAAAGAAGAGCAAAGGCATGAACAGCGTGTTAAAGAATTTCAGGAGAAAATTAATGTGCTAAACCAGAAGTATGTGGAGTTGGAAGATGAATTTCGTTTAGCTTTAACTATTGAAGCAAAAAGGTTTAAAGAGGTAAGACTAAAGATTATTCTAGTGCGAACTGGGCAGTGCTGAGGAGCTCTTAAATTTGCGCATTAAATTCTTCTGATCTTGAGGCCTTCTAAAATGCTGGTAGTAAGCTTTGAAATAACGTTTATCTATGTATGTGTCTATGCTCTAAGCTTTGATAAGTCAGCACTCTAAAATACTGCATTTTTGTTTATAAATAAAAGTTGACATGAAATTAGGGAGACTCCTGTTGGGGGTGGTAATATTTTAGAATTTGTTGATTGGCTAATAGAATATATTATTGTGAAAATTCCCTCTTTCTTGACAGGAAGGTTATGACTACATGTTTACTAGTGTATTTAATAACAAAGTTCCCAGTTGTTTTAATTTACAAAATTCTTCTGGAATTTTCTTGCTAAAGTCCCTAAATAACTTATTTCTATGGCTCGTGTTGACATCATTTTATATGGAAATTGAGATGCACAAAAAAATTAAAATGTTTCCTCTTTAATTTAAAATTGTTTTTCTTCACTTTAAATCAGCTAGGTACATGGGCGAAGAGGTGAAAGAGAATACTTCTTTTTAAAATTCCTTTATTTTTCTTAATGTGAATTCAAACTAATTTTCCTTGTTAAGTGATTCTTTCCGGATTTTATTGTCACTCTTAAGCGAGGTGAAACAAAGCATTTTTTTCCCCTCAAACTGTGATTTTTTCTGTTTGTTTTACTCCCAACCCCCCAAGATAATTTTTTAAATTTTTGTATAACTTTGTAGCTCTGCAGAACTAGCTTAGTGAGTTAAAATATCATCAAGGAACTGACAGAAAACTAGCTTCAGGTGTTAATTTCGCATGCTCCTGATCAGTTTATATTTCTTCCTGTATTTGAAATTCTGAAGTTATTTGTGTGTGTGTACATGACTTTTTTTTTTTTGAAAGTTGATATTTTGCAAGGGTGGTTCTTATCTTAAAACTTTAGGTTAAAGATGCATTTGAAAATGTTGCTGCTGAGCTAGCTGAACATAAACAGGACCTCTTTCAGTCTGAACAAAAGGAAAAACAGATGGCAAGTCTGATCCAAGACCTGACAAGTGTAGTGAAAGAACAGAAAGCAAAGATTACGGAATTATTAAAATCTAAGCTAGAAGCCACCGCAAACCTCAAGGTACTTGTTTCAAAACATTTCAAAACATGTCAACTATGCATATGTACATATGACTTTTTGTAACTTTTTGTGTATAAAAGTAGTAATTCCATACAGAGTATTCACCGAAAGATGTATGTGTCCTGTCACACTAAAATCCAGTACTCAGGATCCACATCAGCCTTTATTTTTATATCATGCTGCTTCCTATTCTTCTTACAGACACTCAGCTCCCGATACAGCAAAATCTAAACAGACATTCAGGTCCCCACAAGTTCTCTTCCTGCCTGTGAGTGCTAGCAGGTTATATATAATCAAGTGGTCACTCTAAACTGAGAATTACATATCTATATTAATATCTCTGAACTTTTCCAAACTCATGATAATGGAATATAGTTCTGCAGATAAAATATTGAGAGGCTGCTATATATAAAGTAAAAGCTAAATTGCACTAATATTCAAATATAGTATTGGCAACATAATACCTCAGAATCCTGTGAAATTAGTAACATCAGAGTCATTATCTAACAATTACGTATAATTTTAATGTTAAGCGCTGTGGGCACAGTTGCTTTATCTTGTACTACTGGTCTATCATATAGTACTATATTACCCGCAAGTAGGATAATATATGTTCTTAGGAACATGCAGCTGTTCAGCAGCTTCTTGTAACTTCTAAGTGTGATCCGGTCCGTGTATCACAATCATTATCTGTGCAGTACAACCTCTGCACAGCTGTTTCTACTCTCCTTGCTGCAGGTTGCTGTTGTGATGTGCAAACATTGTTGATATAAGAAGTAGGATTCTGCTAGTGACTGGTGTTGCTTTAAAAAAAAAAAAAAACAATTCTTGAAAAAGTACAAAAAAGTACAAAAAGTAGTTATGTTAAGCAGCTGCAATCTGTAAAACACTAAAAATAGCTTGTGCAATTTGAGATAACACTTTCTCATGGGAAGTGGAAGCTCAGCACAGCCTCTGTGGGGCTTTTTGTTGTTTGGTTTTTAATATCTTACCTTGACTTTCTTTGTCTTGTTTCTGACTTGTGTGTTTATAATTCTAAACAGTTTTGGTTTTATTTTTTGTTTTTTATAAAGACGTCAGAAATTTAAGATGACTATTTAGAAATCAGTTTTACAGGCTTAACTTTCTGGAAATGAATTACGTCTTTCTGAAGCAGAACACTTGCATTTGCATCGAGAGATGCTTGTTTTTATCAGATAGAATCGTGCATGTGAGCAGAATACTCTTCAGTTAGCTTAATTCGGTGCATATCAGTACTGGTTTCCTAGATAGCTAGTATTGATTTAAACTCTGAATATGTTTTTAAAAAGGATCTTACTGTCTTTTCCAATATTCGTTCATACAGTGTCGAACTGGAGAACTTGAAACTGTGGCTGAGGGGGACAAGCAGAAGGCTGTTCAAATTGAACTCCTGAAGAAAGAAAACACAAAACTTACTTCTCAGCTGACAGCCCAGGAATCTCTGATTGATGGGTTAAAAATGGAAAGAAAAATATGGGGACAGGAGCTGGCACAACAGGGTAAAACACAGAATGTTTGTATTGGGGTAAAAATACTAGTGTTTATCATCCCTTTTCAAGGGATCATCCCAGTATCGGAGTAATCATCACAGGGTCCCTGTATGCTTTGCTGATGTTATCCAGTTTTGTTTTTGCAAGTCATCTTTATATTTACTATAGTGCACAGGCCATTATAGGAATTATAACAGCAGTTGTGGGAGTTTGCCCTATGCAGAGGATAAAAGAAAAATACGGTCACTTGAAACTGATAATGTTAAGGAATGCTGCAAATACAAGAAGTCAGACCAGTGCATACCAATGGCCTGACTATAAATTGCACATATGTATACAAATGCAGTTTTTTTCCAGTTACAGTTTGCGTTCCGTTGTATTCTGTTGTTCTGTTCTCCCAAAGTCTCAAAATACCATTATATGTTACATGAAGCACTTCTAAATAGGAAACTTCTGAAATATTTCTTTTCCTAAATACTATTATGTAAAGCTGCTTATCTATCAGATAGGTCCCAAGTGAAAATGTCAATAGACCTCTTAAAAAATAATGGACTTGAATATTGGATGAAAAAAGGCTTTGGCTTCTGCCCCCCACCCAGGTCCATATGACTTTTAATATAACACTGGCCCCATGTTGTGGGCTCTTTGAGGTTGCTTGGGTCTGTAAGCACTATTGTTCATTTACGTCAAATAAGTCTTCAAAAGACAAAATACCGTCCTTCAGTTCTGTGTTTCCTACTAGATATTACCTATGTACAGATTAAAGCCCTTCAGCACTTCTTGTGGGCCGAATGATCGTGTCTGTTTTTTACATGTTTGGGGTTTTTTTTTTTTTTTCCATCTTGACATTATGTATCTTGAAGTAATCCTTAAAACAAGTGCTATAGTATGAATATCCTGTTTTATCCAGGAGCTCATCTTGCTCAAGATCGGGGAAAACTGGAAGCAAAAATTGAAGTTTTAACAAATGAGATTGAGATTTTAAAAAAGCAAAAGGAACAGGACAGTGATGCTGTAAGAATTAAAACCAAAATAGTGGATGATCAGACAGAAACGATTAGGAAATTAAAAGAAGTAAGTTGGATACCTGACAATTACTATGCTTATATTAAATAAGACTTGCAGGGAAAGTTACGGTATAGGCTCTAATAAAAGCTGGCTCCGCGCTCCTGGTTTTACCAACTCTGAAAGCTGTCAGTGGCAATTGAGTTCACTGGGAGTGTGGAAGGGGATCTTGTATTAACTTGATGGACTGTCAGAGGCATTACCTTGAATCTCTCATTGAAACATATTTATATATAGACTTGCTTCTCTTTGCCTCACTTCCAAACAAGCTATTCTTGATGAGGAATTTGAAAGATAAAGAGTAGGAAAACATAGTTTTTTGTGTGTATGTTTAAAAAAAAAAAAAAGAAGTAAACTAAAATTTGCTTCAGGTTTACTTTACAGTGGTGTGTGTTTTCTTTACTCTGTTGCTTTTGTAATTCAGTATTTTAACAGTGGAGCAACTGTTTTGTTCTATGTATTCTGTTCATCTCATTTAGAGACCTAAGTCTTCAGCTGATTAATCACAATAAAGTTTTATGGTATGTTAACCCAGTTGGATACATCATTTGTTAAACTATGTAAATGTATTCTTAAGGGTCACAGAATGTGAGCTCAGTAACTTATGTATGTAGAAAAAATGTTATAATAAAATCAAAATATAACAACATAATACCATCATGTAGTCAGATTACTTAATTGGTTATTACTTTATTAAGTATTTTTCTTCAAATAATATGTTTATAAGAGTGAACTTTCACATATCAGTCTCTGATTTATTCCAGGATAGAATGGACAGATATTCTTAGCAGGTAAAAATAAAGTTAAGAATGAAGAGGGTTTTTTGTGTTCTAAAATATTTGTCTTCTAAAGGGTTTAAAGGAAAAAGACCAACAAATCAGAAAACAACATGAAGAAAATATTGAAGCTCAAAAGATTTTTCAGATACAGTTGGATGAAAAAGCTGCCGAATATGAAGAGCTAATGGAAAAATTAGAAAGGCAAAGTGAAAGAAAAGAGGAATTAAAGCAAATGCTAGCAGAAAAAGAAGTAGAACTTGATGATGTTAAGAAAGCACACAGGTGATGTATACAGATATGATTCTAAAGAGCTATCGCCAATTGCATGAAATGTTTCTCCTGTGAAATTTTAGTTCAGAGAGAACATGCTTACTATTAAAACAAAGAAATGTGTACAAGGGGAAACAAGGACGACTTTTTCTACTCTCTTAAGAAGTGGTAAAATCTATGTTCATTGTAAATATGCACATTTTTATTTTCAGTGCACTGAAAAAGAAGTGGCAAGGTAAAGGAGAACTATTAAGCCAGCTGGAGGTACAAGTTAAACAAATGAAGGAGACCTTTGATATCAAAGAGAAGAAGTTGATTGAGGAGAGAAATAAAAGTCTGCAAACTCAGAAGTAAATACCTTAACATGAATAACTGTTCAGTTATTATCAAGTTCAACTTTTAATATGTATAAAAAAAATTAGATTATGCCGTGAAAGAATGCATAATGCCTTTAAGTGCTTTGTGAGCCCAGTTCCCATAAACTCTGTGCTTAGAAGTAATTCTTGCTATACCGGTGGTTACTCCGTGGAAGTAGTATTCAGTTATAGCTGAATTCAGTTCAACTTTTTAGCTGTATTCCCCTTTTTTTTTTGGAAATGGTTAGATTCTACACTCAGTGCTCTCTGCTATGCCTGTGCCACCACAATGCTTTCAATTTAGCTCTCTGACGGCGAGGAAACGCCACGTGAGACTTACTTGACTTGCATGCAATCACTGCACATGCCAGCTGCAGTCATGCAGTAAAGGTGCACATAATGGGGTCTCATATAAGCCCCATAATGGGGTGTTCATAGCAGGGTTTCTTTGAGGACAGAGTCTGTCCACCTTCTAGCTCATGACCAGGGTGCATGAGGCAGAATTGGTTGCAAGCCACAGGTCAAGGCAGGCAAGCAACTGTGGCTGGCATTTGGGGTGAGGAGAGAGACAACGTGCTTTACTACACGTCTGTGTAGGAAGGTGAAAGTGCGAAGATCTTATGAACAGCGTAGGAAACTAGTAGGACTTATCAATACTTACCATCATAATCAAGGGAAACACTAGTTTGGCTGTTGTGGTTAGATTAAATGAGATATCTGTATGTATGTTTGAGTTTTAAACAAATAGATGGGCTGTGATATAGATGGACTCAAATATAAATTATCTGTATTCGCTTCCTATACAATTAGTAATAGGTTTTTAATTTCTTTTAATTTCTTTTTTTATTCTTTATTTTCATGGGTTAATGGAGTTTTAATTTCTCGTATTACTCCTCTTGTATTGTCAAATTTTTAGAGCACTTAATAGTAAATATGAGATGATTGGGAAACAAATATTCATACACCAGAAAATGAACAAAGACTTACATGATGCTTAGTTACTCTATATAGTTCTGGCAGTGTGGAGAAGTGTGGTAAACTGTTGCCTGTGATCAGCATAGGTTGTAAGTAGTATTTTTATTTTATTCACTTGCCCCTTACTCTTATTTATTTTTATCTCCTTCCTCTCACTTATTAAGAAAGGAACTAGCTCTCTGTTAAGATTGTATTAATAAACAGCATTAACCACATTGTTACTCAAGGAATGAGCTTACATTACTAAGGATATTAGCTTTAAATTTTTTAAGTTAAAATCACATCTTCACTATTGTTTTAAGGAAGGTGAGATTAAATTGGCATCTGATTAAGGAATGAAAGAAAATACTTTAATATTTGGTTGGAGAAACAAACTCAAATTGTTGGTAGTACTAGGTTTTGGAATAGTTGGAATTTCAATAGTGAAACTGAAATTTTATCACAAAATAATTGTTTTATTTCAAAATTGCGCTGTAAATTAGTAGCACAGTGGAATAACTTCCCTTGCTTTTTGTTGCTGCCTGTTTTAGAATTATCCTGCAAAAGCAGACTTTTCTTGGAATCAAGGAAACAACATCTTGGAAGGGTGTGCATGATGGAGCCAGAGTCTTCTACTTTGCTTCCACAGAGCAGACACTTCTGTTTTTGTGAAACATAAGCCTACAGGCAATTTACAGGATTGCGTAGTCTAGTCCTTACCTTCTCAGGAAGAAACACTGTCCTCCGTGATAAGTAAATGTTTGAAAGCACATAGAGTGCTTATCCGTGTTGACAGCAGCAAGCCTGTATCTTTTTATTGTTTGCTAGTGATTAAATGCTTCAGCTAAGAAGAATACCAAAGCCCTAAACACGACGCCTAAACCTAGAATGTGTTTTTGAGAAAACAAGAGTTCTTCTGAAGCTAGATATTGAAATAATTGTCTTGTGGCCATATTATTAGAAGCATTATCAAAGTCAGAATTGGGCAAAACACCATACTTGTTTGTTTTGGTTGTCTGATGGAGTGTGGATTTTTTTTCTTTTTTTTTCTTTCTTTTAGGGTTGCGATGGAAAAGCTTCATGCAATGGATGATGCTTTTAGAAAACAACTTGAGTCAACATTAGCAGCTCATCAGGCAGAACTGTTGCAGTTGGCAAATGAAAAGCAAAAAGAAATTGAAGCAGCAAATGAAAAAGTAATTTAATTTTGTTTGTATTTTTACTGTACAGGTACCACAACAGTGGTACTTCAGATCACCGGTTTATTTCTTCATGGAAATGGCCCCAGTGTAGCACTCTGCCTTTGCACAGTAGGAGAATCTGTAGAACGTTATGGTCATGAGGTTCTGTCTTCAAGAAAAGCAGTGTGACATGCTATGTAGCTGTTCATAGTCAGTACCTCAACTTTCCTTATCTACAGAGGCAAGAGTAATAGTGCTATATCAAATATTCCATTTAACTGAAGTCTACCTGCGTTAATTACTGTTCTCGCCAGTAT